AAAATATGTGTCTATTTGAGCTCTTGTTGAATGTATCATTCTTTGAGTATCATTCCAGGATGACAACTTTATAGACCATTAGATAGAACCTTCAAAAAATTATCTTGGCTTAGCTGCCCACAGATATCTGTATTCGTTCTGTGGCTGTTTGTTGCCACAGTTCTACTATGTCGTGCAGATGCGTCACTGGCTGACCGACCCTTCGATGGTATACTGCCATGTCTGTAGTTCGTAATTTAGTAGAAATATGCAAGGAAAGGGCAGGGTAGGATGTTAGGAATCACGAACCTCCATGGTATGATATTGTCTATTTTGAGCATAAGCTCTCATGACTAGGCTTTGGAGTTCCTCAAAATGCCTCGTACAATGGAGATATATTCCTTATTTATAAATTCATGATCATTTACTAAATTAGCCAATGTGGGACTTCTCCCAATCATACTCGACACAGGACAAAATTAGCCAATGTGGGACTTCTCCCAATCATCCTCGACACAGGACAGGTGGGAGAAGTTGCATATTATCAAATGGTCTACTATTACTTTAGGAAATAGAACTAACCTGACCCTCAAGTTGTGTAGTTTGAGGAGATCTGAGGCAAAGGCTCGTTTCCATCCCTGGTAAAGCTAATTACAAGTTAGGATGATGTTTGGTCATTCGCTGGAGTAGAATTATGAACAGAACCATTCTTTTTCTTGTTCTAAAGTTATTTCTAAGATTCCATGGAGACGGGAACGAAACATTTCTTATAAGGGTGTGGTACGTAACGGACCAAAATGGGCAGTATCTGCTAGCGGTGGGATTAGGCTATTACAAATGGTATTAGAGCCAGACACAGGGCGGTGTGCCAACGAGGACGTTGGGCCCCTAAGGGGATGGATTGTGAAATCTCACATCTGTTGAAGCATTCCTTATGAGAGTGTGGAAACCTCTCTCTAGTAGACGCGTTTTAAAATCATGAAACTGAGAGCGATACGTAACAAACCAAAGTGAACAATATCTACGAGTAGTGAGCTTGGGCTGTTACATTATTAATCTCACTGGTGATTAGAAGCAACTAACGCAAACACAAACCATATTGGATTTAGTAATGTATTGTCCGTGTATCGGTGTCAACTTCACCTCTAGCCTGATCATAGGATCCAAACAAACATCCTGTAAGTTTCCATGTTTAACAGAAGCTGAAGTTGCAGGAATTAGTCCACTTTCAACTCTTTCCATCATTGGCTTGTAACCATGTTCTTGAACATTACAATAGTTATCTTCAATCTGGATTGGCTTTGGCTTGGCAA